CTTAATCGTTTTTTTTTTGTCTTCCATCTTATTTATGGCATAGTTTTCGGATGACAAGATATTATCTGGTAAACCCGGGAATTTGAACAAAACGCGGTTTTATTCGTGCCCAAATTGTGTCAGTTACATATGTTACAAAGCACTCAAGAAGATAAAGTGTTCTGAGCTGCGCCTCAAGCAACTCGCACGTTTTTCTCGTCTTTTCCCAATTAAAGGAAAGAAAGTTCTCAGATGATCTTATAAATGCAATAGATATATCTTACCTTTACCTTACCTCAGCTCAGAAATATGCCTTTACATTTAGGGTGTTGTACTAAAATTAACGATAGAAGAGTTATGAGTACTTCATGCGATGCTTTTTCTTTATTTTTGATAGTATTCTCCAGCTTCCTGCGTGCCACTATTTGTTTCTCATGCAATATTCAATACACGTAATAGATAGCCCCAAGAGTTTTTCTGCTAGGTCAAAATGTTTTAACATCTTTTTATGTTTCTTTGTAAATTAAAGTCTGCCACTAACCTTTATTATTCCCGCATGTTTATTAGCCAAACGCTACACTGAAAGCTCAAAAAGGTTAAAACAACTTTACAATAGCTATTCTTTTTCTTTTTCCTCTTACAAATCGCTGCGCCTAAGCTGGCTTAGACGAGTGTTCTGCCGCACTTTGTAATAGATGTAGCCCCTATAATTATCCGTTAATAAGACTTGTCGCTCTTCCTAATAAGAAAGCTGTCGAAATTTGTGATAGCAGACCATCGCACTTTGTAATAAAATAAGCTGTCAGACTTGGTGATAACAGATTATTGTACTTTATAGTAAAGTAAGCTGTCAGGCTTGGTGATAACAGATTATTGTACTTTATAATAAAGTAAGCTGTCGGAGAGCGAGTAGACTCCATGAACTAGTCTCTCTAAAGGCGGTCCAGGGTATTTTCGTTTTTAAAGCAGTTTTTAATGATAAAATAACGAGAGAAAGTGCACGAAACTATTTGACACTTGTCAACACTTGTCTTAATCTCAAACGCGTTTCGTCTGACAATAGAAGAGTTCATGCATTAGAGATATTTTACAAGTTCGGTAATTAAGCATGCTCACCCTGTTTCCTCGGCGCCGCCCGGGCGCCTATTTACAACTTAAGGTAAAGGGGGGGTGGGGTGAGTGGAGTGGGAAGCTTTTTAAGTTTTCCTTTCAACGGACTGTAACTTTATTTTATCAATATAGAGAAACAAGAATTGTAAAACCTTATGAGATTTAAGTTTATTTAACAAACATAACATTTGAAGACTGACCGTTTTACAATAGATCAGTTCGATCGGGTTCTTCTTCTTGTGATAAAGCAAGGTTGACCTTCTACGCTTTTGCATGACATGACATCAAAATGTTGTCAATTGGGTTAAACAAAAGTGACTAATCTGCTGAGATTTCACAATCTAAGCAGTCGTTGGATGAGAATGAGTAATCATATAGATTTGTATGGGCCCTCGGAATACGACGACGGGCTTTTTAAAGCGCAACTCGATGACATATGTTCTTGTTCGCTTCCGGCCGCCATGTTGGTGTCCCTTTGANTCTCGGGAGAAAAGTACATAAAGAAGGCAGTGGGGTGAAAAACGATTCTAAGTAAACAATCTGATGAAATGATTTACCTTTACAATAAGCCTGGATGACCTTGCTATTCTCTTCGGAGTAGATCCAGTATTTCCCGTCAGCCATCTCGCCGCCTTCACTCGCTCTGATCTCACCGCAGGTATCCGCTGGATGTTCTTTGATAGATCTGAAAACTATTTTATACAAGTACTTTACACTTTCACGCAATTTGAGAATTTGAGAAGTCAAGATGCAATTTCAGCAACCGAAAGGGAATAACACTTTCCCTGCCTGTGTAAAAGGAGGTGGAAATGAAAACTGTGCTAATTCTATTCGATCTAGGTTGAGAAATAAGATGAAGGCAACAGCAATAACACAGAGACACAAGCCAACGTTTCGTTGTTATCGTTAGCCTGTTGTCAAGGCAACATTGATGATGCGATTCCAAAACGTCACCTCTACATCTGTCTTTGTATTTGAAAACATTTAAAAACTACGAATCAATCACGGAAATCAAATCATTTAAAGCTCGGAAATTTGTCTTGAAATGGTGCATGCCTCCGAAATTTAAGATTTCTGTAATCTTGCAGAGGAAAAGAAGGGTCTGCCAGAATCGCAAATACAAAGAGCTAGTTGCTGCTTCCAGAACGTTTCATGTAAAATCTCTTCTCATCTGGAATAAAATCTTCCGGTCTTCCTTCCTTTGTACGATTGTTCACTTTGCAGATGTTTTGATCAACGACGACATTGTAACTCTGACACGTGACTTCTTCCTCTAGACTGATAAGTACAGAACGTAAATCATATGTTAAGCACTTAGAGGTACTAATGGATAGTAATCTCTGTTGGAAATATCATATCAGCCACATCGCGTCAAAGATCAGTAGTCTTAAAGGTATAATATCTAGACTAAGGCATTTCACTCCCTTCGGGACTTTGCTTAATATATATAGATCTCTTATTCTTCCATATATCTCCTTTTGGCCCAACCAAAACGCACCTAAACAAGATACTCCATCTTCAAAACATGTAGTCCGCTTGATGAATTTCTCAAAGTTTAATGTTCATGTTGTTCCACTTTTTATCTCTACCAGTATTCTGCCTTTACCTTTAATCTACTTTAAAAATTGCTCTATCTTAATGCATGATGTCTATAAAAAAAGTCGTGCCATCTAACATTTCTGCTCTCTTTAGACCCATTAGAGATGCTCATCATTATAACACACGATCTTCTACCGCCGGTAACTTCTATATAAACTACTCTCGACTAAATCACTATAAGATTTCTTTTTCCTGTATGGGCGCAAAAATTTGGAACTGTATTCCTTATGTTTTGAGACAGCTCCCAAAATATAGTTTCAAGAAAAATAAACGAATCTTTACTTCACATCCTTCTAAACCAGGATTCTTATCCTGATGTCGATACATTAATAAATGAAATGACATGAAACCAGATTTCGTTAAAATAAAGAGCATTTTGAGCTTTTCGAACTCCTGTTTTGAATTATGTGCCCGTGGCTTCGTAATTAGTATACCTCTATTTTTGTATTCACTTTTGTAATTGACATCTGTACCTTTGTAATTGTTATTTATTTTTTGTCATTAGAATAATGTTATTTTTAATATGTAATTGACACTTTTTTTACACTACCTGCCTCGATTAGCTTCGCTATATTGCAGGTAGTCTTAATCTAGAAGTTAAATTGTGATTATAAATAAAAGATGTTGTTGTTGTTGTTGTTTTTGTTGTCCTCACACCCGGCTGAAATAACACTCCACTCAACTCAACCGGATACATTTTAATCATGTGACCGCTGAGGTACATTCCACCAATTGATCGTTCCTGCTTATGACACTGACCAGTAGCGTCAAGTATCGCAGTCCAGAAAATCACTGAGAAGCATGATAGTCAGCCACAACTTTGGATTCATTCTGAGGTGACTGTAGGTGGCTCTTGCTGAGCACGGACCAGGTACCTATTAACACAGTTAACAATACTAGTCACATTAATTTGGACATTTCTACCGTACAGTTCACCAAAGAAACCGAAGTAATTCGAGCACTAAAGGTCGCATCAAATTCCCCTGTGTCTAGATAGATAAAAGTGTCTGTTGATTTTAGATTTTTGGTAGAGAAACTTCAAAACATGTATTAAACTTTACCATAGTTAATAGAGGGGACTGCTTATGAAGGCAGGCATACAACAGGGAGCTCGGTTATTGTTCGAGTTTATCGAAGCCAACCAAGCGTGACCGTGCACACACATTTAAAATGGCGGAGAGCTAGAAGACTTGTGTACGTGGTTTTATCTGTTTCTAAAGCGTCATGATGTAGTTCTGTCCAACGAGACAGTTTATTTAAGTATCTAAACTCGAAATTACTATGCCTGGCTACAGCTGTGCCGTATTTGGTTGCGGTACATGTCGTAGAACGAAAGGAATCGGCATAGTTAAGTTGCCCTCGCTGCGAAATGCCGAGTATGAAAAGTGGCGCAAAGAGTGGCTGAATCAGCCGACCAAAACAAGAATTATCGACAAAGATTTCCAAAGTCAAATCGATAAAGGAAATGTATTTACATGTGAGAAGCATTTCGATCCAAATGATATCGAAACGTGTAAGTATTCGAGTAAAATATCAATCAAATGGAACCAGGAGAAGATCAAAAGATAACTCTTAGTCCAATGACTATATTTGATGGATGATTTTTGTGCTCACTCTATTGTATTAACTAAACTATACTTGTTACCATTTCAATTAGCTGAAAGTAATTATAAACCGTGACAAGTATTTATTNTTTATTTCAATTGACTCGAGTTTTCTTACCAAACTAGTGCTGTTGGTTTCATTCAAAAGTGTACGCGGACTTCTTTAATTTTTTTTTCTTACGCGCTTTCTAATTGATAGGTGTCAGATCGTGACAGATAACTATAAAAGAAATGTTTCAAAGTTTGCTTAGAAGCCTTTTAAACCACTCTGATCAGTACATAGATAAAAGCGTTATGGATGGGGTGCAGGGATGGCTCAGTGGTGATATTATAAATTTTTATCACTGCTGCATTAAAATGTACTTGGGTTACTAATAATGATACTTGTGTGATAAACAGCTTACATGTCTTACATCCATATACGTTATCATCTCACTTTACGAGTGATATGAGATAATCTCTAATCTTTGTGATGGAAGAGAGCAGTGAACTTTGTGAATCCAAATGATTTGAGCCCTTTCACTCAGCACCCTATACTTTTCATTGCCGCTAAATTAAAGACTCGGATTTTACTGATAAGCCTTACTCGCTAGAGTAAAAGACTTTGCTATCAATCCTATTTTAGCAGCAACCTAAATAATATGAAAAAAACTTGGGAGGGGATTAACACTGTAATTAATAAGCACAACAAGACTAGGCTCGTATCGTCGCTCCAGCTTCCAGACAACCGGGGTACAACACAAAACCAATCAGAAATAGCTAATGCATTGAATCATCATTTCGCATCTGTCGGACCTAAACTCGCAAATAGCATACCATTATCCACCAGGGACTTTAAGGATTACCTAGGGAATTCAAATTATTCCAATTCTTTCTTCTTTGACGCTTTCACTCGTACTGAAATTGAAATGGAAATTTTGAGTACTCCATCAAACAATGCCTACGGACTTTATTCATGTCCAGTTCGTCTTTTGAAGTCAGATAGATCTTCCAGAAGAAATTAGAACGCGGAAGAACCTGAGCGAGTTGCTTCCTACTATTCTCAGAAAGGTACAGTGAGGATATTTCATTTTTTTTTTTTGTTATATTTAGTATAAACGTTGGACAGTAGGGGAAAGGGAGCTGTTTTGTGCTAGTTCCTTTTGACCGAATCACTCAATATAATTCTTTCGATATGTTGCGCGATCGATGATCCAAGCGATAAAGATCGCGTAAGCGTGCGGCTAATATCTAAGAGCTGAACACCCTTATGTGGAGAAGTTTTAATTCGGAACGTTACCTCACCATTAAAAATGTTTCTTCCCGTAAATCAGTTATTTCACTCGTTGTGTGTAATGTACGTTTTCAGTGGTCTAAGGTCGAGTTTAAGACTGCCTGGGAAATTATTCTGAACTCCAAACTGCTCACGAAAAGAAATCTGAACCTTTTGGCTTTTGTTTGTCTGCCGTTCGGTGTGGATTAGTCTGGATATCGAAAGTTCCGCGTATCAATTCAAACACGGAAAATGGTGTTAAGAACCTCAAGCGCTTTGCCAACTCGGTCGTCAGAGCAATCTTCAAGAACAATAAGTGAAGATTTTATTGGAGGGGTAATTTCACGTAGTATTTGAGTTCAGAAGTTTATTTTTACTCTGATCCAAATTGCAGGTGTGACAGAAATCTGGTCTTTTGAGAGGTGAGTGTCAGAAAATCAGGCAAAGGCTGCATAATATTAGAAAAACAATTTAAGTTGCGTAAACATTCCTTTAAGAATTAAATTTAAAATTCAATCTTCACTTACATTTGTGATTATACAGATATATAATTGTATTATTTTTTCATCATCGTAATGGATTCCATTTCATTCTCAATTATACCAGTTGACTCCATTAAGCTTCAAAATACATTACTGTCCGCTCAGATAACTCTTAGGACACCTTGTGGCTTCGAACAATTTCCACTTTTTAAAAATTTATTTTTACGGTTTCTGGACAGAGAACATATAATTATAGATTGAACTGTTTCCTACATTTATGGAACTAGTGAGATGATTCATTAACTTCGTAAGCAGCTTAGTCATACCTTTTAAATACAGATTAAAAAGTTAGCTCCAGGAGCAGTTCTGGCAGTCATTAAATGGTGTAGTCTCAAACAACTGAGTTGCACTGCTGTGGTGTATGTCGGGTGGCTCCAAATCAGCCTCTTTAGTTTGTAACCACTCGATTTTTTGATATTTAAATTGCTCTTAAATGGTTTTTTTTAGCATTACTCAATGCATGATGTTGTTACTTTAATTGTCACTGAAGAAGCCCTCATAAGGAAGGGGTCAACAGAATAAAGCTTTTTTTCACTTTCATCTTTGCCTTTATGCTGCTGTGCCTTCAAGTGGCACAAATCATTAGTCCACTTTAGAACAGATGCATGGCTGCCTCCTCAAAACGCTGTCACTATATTTATTTTTTTGACAATTTCACATTTATGCAGCACAAATCTTAAAGTTAATGTTAATAATTGCCAAATGATTTGGATAGCTGGAGACATGTTGAGATTTTAAGAAAATACATCACCTTGTTTTTAAAAAAATGTTTCTACAGTTCCTCTGTCATTCTTATTTCTAATGCACACAAAGCACAAAATTGAATTTCTAACTGTACATAGAATGCTATAGCAGGTGGGGTTACTAAGTTAAATCTGCCTGTCTATATAATCTACTGTTTTATCTTGATCACAATTGCATAATAAGTGGGGTAACTCACCAGGTGGGTTGCCTGGTGTACCAGGCAGAATAAATCGCATCAAATTTGCCATCTCAAAATGGGATAACCCTTCCTAGCCGGGTTCATGTTACATATACAAGCATGCCAACAACCTCACCCTGTGATCCTCGGATAGTGGGATTACTGCACATGGGGTCCCCCACTTTCATATAAACATGCCCATATGTTTTATTCTTATATGCATAGTTTATCTCTTTTTTGTATATGTATATATTTTTTTTCTTTGAGGGCTACTAGCTTTATTATTTTTTTAACTTTTATGTGTAATCCTCATTGATGTAATGTCTTGTTTAACCATAATCAGGTGTAGATGATGGTAAGGGGCTAACTACAATTATGGTGGATCCAGACCTTGAGCTAAAGGGGGGGCCCATTCTTTTTCTTTTGTGTGTGGGTATACCAAACACCGTTTTTCTCTTCTGCATTATTTTTTTTATCCAAATTCAAATTAAGAGGGGACCAGGCCCCCCAGCTCCCTCCCCTAGATCTGCAACTGGAGTAATCCATCCACACAGGTTTCCTAATGTCTGAGGATTGGTAACCTCTCAGTATTGGTCACAATTGCATGGTCATATAAGTGCTTCAAAGTTGGGTAGCAGTGATGCATTGATTCTGAAAACATGCTATACTCAAATTGCTAAAATTTAGTTCTGCTAATAGTTGCTGGCCTTTAATCTACTCAACCAAGAGCAATTAATTGCAAAGACAATTAAGACAATTGTTTTTTCTTTCAGTGAGGTTTATATATAAAAACCTTAACATGTCCAGCATACAGTGGCTTTATATTGGTGTTGATGTTGGTGGGACAAACACTGATGCTGTGGTCCTTAGAATGAAGGAGGTGCTTTGCTCAGCTAAAGTTCCAACCACTGAGGATGTGACTTCTGGTATCTCTGAAGCCATCCAATCAGCATTGAGCCAGCTTCCAGAGGAATATCAACCCAATCCAACTCAACATGTGGCTAGGGTAAACATTGGCACCACTCATTTTGTGAATGCTGTGGTCCAGAGGAAGTTCCTCACCAAAGTGGCTGTGCTAAGGTTGTGTGGACCAGCAACTAGAGCCATCCCACCTTTGTGTGATTTCCCTGCTGATCTGAGGAATGTTGTTGGTGGAATGCACTTTTTCCTCAATGGAGGATTTCAGTATGATTGTTCATGTATAACTGATGTTGATGAGGAAGAAGTGAAGAGGATTGCTAATAAAGTACACTCAGCAGGTCTGTGGTCTAGATTTCATTTGAATTACCTTAGCTTAATTGCCTTCAGTAATAATTACTGCATCTCATTTCTTGATTTCTCTTTCTCTGAGCATCATTAATTTTACTGTTGGAAGAATGATACATGCCTGCTGAGTTGTCGAGTGGATGTCAGCTCATGGATGGGGGCTATACTGAAATCCTCCTTTTATCATTGTTATGTTTATTTCAATATTCGAGTGGTTTACCTGGTCTATCTTATTCTGTTCTTAAGGAATAAGAAATGCTGTCATTGTTGGAGTTTTCTCTCCTGCCTCTAAAAAACAAGAAGTTCAAGTAGCTGAGATTATCAGATCTGCCCATCCAGATATGAGTCTGACACTCTCTCATGAAGTGGGCTTGATAGGCTTGCTAGAGCGGGAGAATGCAGCTGTTCTTAATGAGAGTCTAAAGCCACTTTGCAAAAAGACTGTGGCAGCATTTTGTGAGGCTTTGAGAACCCTTGGCTTGAAATGTCCCTTTTATCTCACACAGAATGATGGCACCATAATAAGGTAAATTGATTTATTGTACCGCTAACTTTGACTCAGAGTCATATTGTTATTTAGTCACTCTGGTGGTCTTTATTTAGTCACATGAGCTGATGTCTATTGAAAGTACATGTAGGTAATTTCAGCATATAGGGAGATATTCTTATAAGTATTTTGGATCATCCTCAGTTTTAGGTACACTCATATATACAGTCATGTAACTCTTAATGGGTATTTTAATTCTCTTTTGGCTTTAATGTAGCTCTGCAGGTTTCTTCATGATAGTGCACATAAGTGGAAACTAAAATGTGAAAATGTGAAGACCAGCTAATTCACACTTACATATGTTGGACTATGATAGAAGAGGTTGTTCAGATTTTGAGGCAAATTAATTGTTAATTAATATTTAACCATCCAGGAGGCATTCAGGAGGAAAATTGGAGTTTTTTAATAATACACGTGGGGTAATCTGCATTCTTATAATTTTCAAGTATTGAAATTAATGAGCATAGCCATGCACCTCAAGCAAAATGCAGTTTTAAGTAATATATAGTATTTGAATATGTTGATTATTAGTGTGCATAGTTCCAGTCTTGCTTTAAAAAGCCAACTATTGAGACTCCCCCAAAACAACTGGAATGGTTACCACTCCCCTAAGTTGTTTCTGTTAATTATTATGATGATGGCTGTATTTAATTATCAAATTGCTTTATTTCCCATTCAGCTGAAAAAGACACTTTTTGTCAGATATTGTACTTAAATGAACATAGCATTCAATAAGAGATGCATGAACTTTATATATATATATATATCTATTTTTATTTAATTAACTCATGTCTCTGTATTAACTTTTAAAGAGCAGAGCAGGCTCTACACCTTCCTGTGTTAACATTTGCATCAGGCCCAACAAACAGCATGCGAGGAGCAGCATTCCTGTCAGGTGTGCAAGATGCGATTGTTATTGACATTGGAGGAACCACTACTGATGTAGGAGTGCTTAAAGGGGGATTCCCGAGACAAGCTTCTGCCAGAGTTAAGGTTGAGTAAAATGGCAAAGATTGTAAAAATATTAAATGTCATTAAATGTCATATTTACAGTATGTTGTGATTAAATTCAGGAAAAACTTGAGAGTAGTAATCATTAATTATAACAATACACCTTGGGAGTTTAGTTCAGTTATTCTTGAATTTTCCAACGCCGGTAACCTAGCTAATATGGAAAAGTTATGTAATAAAGACTGCCATCCTTGTGACAGGTCTCTCAATAATGTAGATCAATTATTGATTTATTATTTTTTTTAGATAATCTTAAGTTAAAGTTAATGATCAATTATTAAGTATTAAGATTGTGACTCGTTACGGGGAGATTAGCTAATAAGGCCATTAATTTTCTCTGGAGATTAACTCTTAAGAAACTCAGCTCAGCCGTGCAGTTTTAAAATTGGAGCATATTTCTACTGTAACACTTTGGAACAAGTTCTCGAACATTCTAATTGGTGGTACAGTAATGTTTTTTTAATATTACAGAAAAATTGATTTTAAATTTGTAAGATGTCTGTCTTTTTTTCCTTAAAAAAATACCGTCTTATACTTCGGCCGTACAACTCATAAAACACGCATAAATAACGACAAAATAGTTTATTGATGAACAAATCTCACTTTCTTAATACACAGCAATTAAACTGATGCACTGTATCACTGCCGCTTATCTGAAAAGAAGACGTATGCTTGGAGAGATTTCACTTGGTTGCATGTCCTCGTCAAACCGGAGAAGCTTCCTTGACAGATCGATCTTTATGAGACGTTAGGTTACGATCTCGCTTCGTCTGCCCCATGGGGAATTTGCTCGCCCTTCTATTTCGAAGCAAAGCAGTTCTGTATCTTGTAAATAGAAAGAACTAAAGGTTATATTTTGACAAACTGATTTACCGCCGTTCTGTGATACTGCGGCCTATTCCAAACTCTATCCATTCAATTGATTTATTCCGTGAACTAAAAAGCTGATCAGTGCTCTCAAGCCATTTCATTTGATCTCCACGTAACTAAAAAGAACCAATTGTGATGAAAATTACCTTACCTTTCATTTGACCTTTAGGATGGTTGCTAACGCTGGGCCTCTTCTCTCCATCAGCGCCATCCGGCATAATAACGTAAACTTTCTTTGGACTTAAAACTTCCTTTGCGTTAATTAGTTCGCAAATTAGATCTATCTTTTCAAACTTTTATCTAATCGAAGTAAAGGCACGTTAACACTCTTAAGACTTTGAATCCTCGAAAGCGACTTTTCATGTAAACAACTACGAAGAAGCGAACATTTGTAGCAATTTGCTCTCACGCAATGACGGCTTTGTGTTTACGATAGCACCGCCTCGCGCACCAACGTCTCAATTTTACAAACCAACGTTAGACTTACAGTGGATTATGAATCTAACCAATTATTATCAAATTGGAAACAATAAGTTATTTTAAATGTAACCTGAAATCATAGTTAATCGATTAACTATGCTGAAATGGTTGATAGTTGATAGTCAGCTACCCTGCGAGCAGAGCCTTTTCTTCTTTTCTTCTTCTTTTCTTTCTTTGCAGCCCCACCAGGCGATAGGGATGGCTGTTTTCTATGTCTAAATAAGGATTTTGACTGTTTAGATTATCAGCCTTAAGCTCAGTATTACGGATATTTTAGACTAGGCTTTATTATATTTTAACTCGGTGTGCATCATTTACTTGTAAATAAATCTAGATTGGAGGAGTTAACACCAACTTCCAAATGCCTGATGTGCTAAGTGTGGGACTTGGTGGAGGATCAGTCATAGCACAGACGCAGGTTTGTCATTAACATTGTTAAAAAAAGGTTCCGCAAGAAGGAGGGAGGCTCTATTGTTAAAAATATATTTAAAAAAGATACTATCATTGTAGGATGAGCAGTTTTAAATGATTAAACGTGATACTTAAATGTTCATTATATGCATAGGTATGTGCTGATAAATGTGTAGCCTTGCCAAAGCTTTACCCACGATCACAACAAACTCAAGATATTTTCCCACAAACAATTAAAGGCATGTAACAACATAATTTTTTATTCCCTCAGGAGGCAATCACAGTTGGCCCATCAAGCGTTGCATACAAGTTGATGACTGAAGCTTTGGTTTTTGGAGGGAAGATAATAACATCTACTGACATAGCTGTTGCTTTTGGCCTCTGTGAGATTGGAGATAAGGAAAGAACTAAGGACATTCCAGAGGTTATTAAGGAGGGAGCAATGGCGGAGATCAAGAGAAAGATTGAAGCGGCAATTGACTTGGTCAAGGTATCATATAAATGTCGTTTAAAATACATATAATTATACAATTATTTTAAATTTTTTTATAACTTTGTTAGCAGCAATAAAGTTTGTAGCCTGGCTTAAAGGCTTATTACCATTTTTCCACTGAATTCCTATTTCTGCTCAGTATGACCTCTCTTCTGCATTATTTTAAGAGAAACTGAATGCATTTCTCTCAGCCAATCAAAATGAATAATTCTGGCTGCCGATGGTGTAGTTGGCGGTTGTGGAGAAATCCAAACACGAGAGCCTGCTCGCAGGCTCACCAGACGGCGATGAGAGGTTTTACAGGTGATGGTAGACCGCTGGAGCCTCTGATGTTACTAAGTAGGCTGGTAACAGAAGTTAAATTTTATGGTTGAAAGCAAAGAAAATGCTGTCAAACTCAATTCTATTTTTCAAACACAACCAGGTTAAATTGATTTATCTATAAGATTGAGATTATTATTTGCCTTCAATAACGTAATGAGGTAAGGAAAGTTTACAGCGTGCAGGACCGTAAGTACTGGGTTAGTAATGAGAGTATTAATGCCGATCCTGTATTCGTAAACAGTTTAGCGGTGAGGACCAGCCTGTTATCCTTGTTGGTGGAGGGAGCGTTCTTGTGGATTTGTCACAGACATTGAAAGGAGCATCAAAAGTATTTTGTCCTCCAAACTATCAGGTAAAAGACAGTTTTCGTTGATAAGAACAGGCATATCATTCGCTGTCTCTTCTGCATCTTTTCACTTGACTTGGGTCACGTCTTCTAAAGAGAGCCTTAATGGGTAATCATCTGGAAGGGTTCTTCTCTGTCAAACGATCGTGACCGGAGGGGGAATGTGAGACTGAGTCACTAAATGAATGAACAAAAGACGCAGAAAGGTCATTCATGATGAAAAAGTCATATCTTGAATCCACAATGAAAAATGTCGACTGAGTTACTTATCATAACTCTTTTCTCCTTACGCTGTTTGCTACCTTGTGTGTTAAGAGCGATCATTTGTGTACTATTAATGCTATAGGTTGCAAATGCCGTTGGCGCTGCCTTAAGCAAAGTCAGTGGTACATTTGATCATGTAGTCCCTTTGAAAAACACAACCCGTGAAAATGCATGGGAGGAGGCCGAGCGAGGGGCGCGTAAAAGAGCAGTGGAGGCTGGAGCTGACGAACAAACCTTGGAAGTTATCGACAAAGAGGAGGTTCCGCTGGCTTATCTGCCTGGAAATGTAGTGCGGTTTTACCTGAAAGTGGTTGGAGATTTGGCTGAGTGCAAAGCAAACAGCATTGATGAATTATCGGAGATGGGTAATCATCACACTACATGTCTGCTACAAAAACATAGAAAACCTTATTGTAAAATTAAAGTCAAAACTTAGATACAACGAGCGCTCTGATTGGTAAAAAATCTATTGCATATGTGCCTGCATACCCATAGAAAAATGAAACATCTCGTCCTGTCAAATGGCAACACACGGGGCGAATTCCCCGATTTTAAATTTAATAAAGGCCTTCGATTCTTTGATTTTTCCGCTTTTCTCGTGAGATAAAAAAAATAAGAATAATTCGGAGTAAGTAAACAAAATTAGCCTCACAAAAAGGCATCTGCGATGACGTCGTTTCTTGGGATCACCAATCAGTATCTTTAATGGTAGCCAGAGAGCAGTTAATATATTTATTATTCTAATTACTAATTTTTCCCCTTTTTTTTTTTAGGATTAAAGATATCTAGCATCTTGTCGAGTGAAAAACTTTCACCTTTCAAAGAAGTCTCCGAAGAGGCACAGCAGTCGAGCGCACAAGACGAGGACGCCATTGTGTTTCGTGATCCGTATGTAGACCCGACAACAGGTGACTGGATACTGAACAAATTTGATATCGAGTGTATCGCCATCGGAGCAGGTATCATGGGATGTGGTGGAGGAGGCAGTCCATATCTTGGGAGACTGAGAGCGCTGGATCTCATTAAGAATAAGAAGGAGATTCGTGTAGTGCATCCGAACAGGTGAGTTGAGCATGATGATTACAGGAATAAGTCTGGCGTTGATGGTGAACAAAATGTGAATGTTTACGTAATAAATTCATGGGGGATGTAAGTTTGGGAACGGGGGAGGCGAGGGGAGAGGAGGAAAATTAAATGTTGGCAACCATTGTTTTTGTTCTGATTTGAAAGTCTTATTTCTTTTCACTTCCTTTGTTTCAGACTAGGATCAACTCCTGAATTGAGGGGTAACGTAATAACTCCAGCCTTCATGGGTGCCCCTGTTATCTTGATTGAGAAGCTTTTTAGTGGACGAGAAAGTATCTCAGCTGTGGAGGCAGCTTCAGCAATTTTAAGGGCTGGTGGTGCTATTAATGAACATGACAATGGGGATGGAATCAGGGAAGCGAAAGATGTTCAAGACTGGATGTCTTCTAAAAGTGAGGTACAGGCTGAAGAAAGCTATCTGCCATAGACTTTTCCTGGATTGTTGAGCAGTTCGCCATGCAAACTCTAATAAACGATCATTTTCATTTTACAAATTGTGCAATTGGTGTACTCTTGAAGAACACCTTACCTGCTCCCCTGTTGGCTGAGGTGTTATAGGTAAAAACTGTCTTGTGGGAGGGTTAGATACGAGCATTAGACGAGACCAGACCAACCCTTGAATTCTGAATAAATTATGAGAATTTGCTACCTTCGGAGTGACATCTGCACATATTTTCGGTTCTTTTCGGGGAATGCTAATAAACTTCACCTTATACCACGCACTCTTTGTAAGAGGTATTGGTATTTTATTTTCCAATTTTTTACAGCAAAGTCATGTCTTCAGTTCACTTGTTTCATTTGTCGTTTGCTTTCAAACAGCTTGAATCAAAAAGTAAAGTCGTCGCAGTAGTGTGTGCCGAGATAGGAGGTGCCAACTCTATTGAGCCCTTAGTGGCTGGTGCAGAACTGGGACTCCCCATTGTGGACGCAGATGGCATGGGGCGAGCTTTTCCTGAGTTGCAGATGTTTTTGCCGTTTGTCTATGACAGCCTGCCATACCCTGCAGCTGTTGGGGATGAGAAAGGAAATGTAGTTGCGTTGACCTTTGCAGAAACGCCAAAGCACTTGGAAGGCTTTCTAAGGATTAAAACAGTAGAAATGGGGTAGGTAAAGGACTTCCGCTTTGCTAATAGCGGAAATTCAGAGGCTACTGTGCTGCTTTCCTTTACTCCTTATCCTTCATTCCGTAGTTTAACACGAGCTTCAAAATGTCACCTGTAATTTGTGCAGCGTATTCTGTGCGGCTGGAGCATGCTAGGAAGCTAAATGTTCATTGTCTGATTTGAATTATCAGTTTCTCGTAACACAGCGGTGAAACGTCGGACATGCGCTAGGGGATCCATTTTTGGCCGGTTGCGCGCCAATTTACCGCGAAATACTTAAAAAGAAGACAGGAAAAACTGCTGTCTCACAGGTAATAGAAATTTGTTAAAGGAAACTGGAAAACTGGAAGCTTTTCGAACACAAAACTCATTAAAATACGGAGATACCTTTGATTTACCAATCTGTTTTGAGCTTCACCAAAAAAGTTTAGGATTTTGAAACACCTCGACTTGACTTTTTGGCTTAAGTGGTTGTTTGTAATTCGCTCTTGGTTCTGAGAAAGCACGCTACCAAGTCATTACAAAGTTCGCATATACGCTGGCGTTTGACTGTTGTGATCTTGTGTCTTGGGCCAAACGATAAATTGCTTTTTGTGAAACTTGTAGAGGACAGTTGATCTCTTTACAATTAGAAAGAATACCCAAAAATGTGAAATTAGCATCTTTAACACCTGCTGATGTTAAAGGCATGATAAGAGAGAGAATTAAATCTGTTGTCATTACAGGTGTGATGGGCACTACTACCTTTTACTTCCTATCTACGTCGCAACAACATTGTCTCTTTTCTTTGTAAATAAATTGTGC